GCGGATATCTCGCGGGATTTTTCGGTACGCCTATCCCGAAAAATTCCGTATCCCGATGATGCATATCCCGTGAAGTTATCTCTCTAAACATAATAAGGATAATATCAGTTTCTGATCACATTTGAAATGCTTACTCTCCTGTTTGTATCCTCATAAGACTCTTAAGATTGGACCTCTGCTAGGAAAGGAAGCAGAACTTGGTCCATGAGAAACTGGAGAGGAACCCAACAGAGCTGAACCCAGCCATCCACAGAAGGATACAACACATCACAACCATTTCTAGAAACACATTATATCTCCATTTTGGCCAGTAAATATTCATTATGTATGTTAAATTTGCATAATATATGTAACAGTTAAGGTTTTATAGAGTGTGTAGTTCCAATATTTTACACAACTGTAGATTTTCATCATCATTGCAATGATTTTCATATAAAATTTCAAAGAACAATTATTATAGAAGTGGGTATATTCACTGGCTCGGCGATCAAAAGAACAAGTAAAACCCAACAAAACTGGCTTGATATATATCTTGTATACTGTAGTATAAAGACTAAAGTTACTGTAGGAATTAGTTCTTCATATCATTGTATGATATACGTATTTACAATTAGCCCTCTGTCATGTATTTGTAATAATAATAAACTTATCATCATTATTATTTCAGCCTACGTCCTGTTTCCTATTTACAAAAATGTAATAAGGTAGTGAGATGAGCGCAGCAAAGTCCTTTGTAACTAAAGCTGTCAAAAAGACTCGAAGTTTACTTGCAGTCTGCAGAGGATGTCATTGATTAAAGTTACATGCTGTGGCCTAATTGCAAACATGGTAAGAGTGTGTGCTGAGTGAATCATTGGTACTGTGGTATGTAACTATATATATCCTAGTATCTCCTATACATGGCACTACAAGACTAGTCTATGGTAATGATCTTTGAGTGGCAGACGGGTAGACTTGGCCTTACAACGGCAGTCATTGATTAAAGTGACCGGCAGATTTTAAACTTGGCCTCACAACGGCAAAAACATTCAAATTCCCCAGTTATAACGTTGATGTTACTCTATAAACAGCATATAAAAGTCAGTAATATAAGCAAACTATCCTTCTACCTTTCCTTTCCTAATAAAGGTATAACGTTAAATCGTAGGCAAGACCATCCTGAGGTAAACATATTGCATTTGCTTGCAAATGTTACCTTTCTAGTGTCATTTACGTTTTCCAACGTTCTGTAACTGTCGTCTATTAAACTACCGACGTAACGTTACAAAGTGAGGTAAAATGACTCAAGCTGGAGTCATACATCTGCTTGGAGATAGTGGCGAGCGTGTGGGTGATATTTCGTAAAGGGCAACGTGAGTCATAGCTATGTACTGGTGACGGATCATGAAATTCCCCGCTGACAGGTCCTGAGAAAAGTGGAAAATCCCGCGGGATTTTCCACTTTTCGGGATCCCGCAATGCCGAAACGCCTAAAATACCTATTTTACGTTACATATAACGGGGGTTTTCATTGGCCTCCTTTGCAGACTTGTAGGGCGCGGCGTTATTTTTTTCTGTCATGTCAAATAAGTTTTTTTTTTTTACCTTCCTTTTCATGGACATTATAATGTCCTTGATGTCAATAAACTCTAGGACTTCAATAGGATCCGTTCACTGCTTTATTCTCGCTTCCTATTCAATTACGTATTAGGAGTTTGGTAAAGCCTGTTTTAATAGACTCTGCTATGGGAAGAAAAACCGAAATGTTGGGACCACACCTTGTAACGTTGTCGATGTCACACACTGACATTGTTTCTGGGCCACGAGGCAGGCCAGAGGAAAGCGGTCACGTGCGTCAATACGCGCTAGCCAATAGTAACACTCAGATCACAAATACATTATAATATGCTAATTTCCGTGGAAACTTCGAGATTCTCATGTCCATACTGAGTCCATACTAAACCTTCGACTATGGCGGAAGATTTGCAAAAGAAGGTGGGTATGGTATTAGTTTTATCTACAAATCATAGATGTACAATCTGTTTCCCCAGTTGATTTGGCCGGGAGCCGGTTAGAGTTCAACCGTGCCGGTTTTGTGCTTCAGATTTCACTCCTTTTAGTTCTTCTGGACAGGGAAGTGGGGAGGGGGGCCGCCATGCTAGCCACGAGCCAGGCGATCGCTTTGTAGATAGAAACATGTCAAGCTACTAGCCTCAGCCTAACGCAAAAACTCTTAACTATGTTTTCAGAGTTAATTAGATCATCAACCACACGAGATCTGCTTGATATTGTGGGTAGACGAAATGATGATTTGATTGTTTAATTTTCGCAAGTTCAATGTTAAATCCTGGTTTCACTTTCGCCGTGCATAACGTTAGTGATGTTAGTGTGTAGTGATACTACCGAATGACATGAATGGTTTACTCTTCAAGCAAACACTCCAGTCGCGAATGATCCAAGACTTCTGACGACGATACGATACATGCTTTTCGTATGAAGACTGTGATCAAGTACTAGTATACAACATGTTGCTCTCTCTGAGGTCATCAGGCAGAGTTATAATTTTCAAAATCATCAACATGCATCTGCATTCGGGGTTGTATACCAGCAATAAGATAATCTGGCCCATCAACTTATAACGTTAGTAATTTCTAGAACATGAAAATCTGCATAATGATAATACTGTATGATGATTTTGCGGACAAGCACGCTCCTAGGAGTGATAACTGTTGACATTGAAATTCATTGACAGTTTATCCTGGCTCAGGTTGTGTCTCTGGAATAAATGATTATTTACTACACTAGAACTTTCTAGTACAGGACATGGTTATCTTGAACAAACACATACTGTTGGCATGGAGCATTGCCAGAACCTATAATTGGAGGGTCCTCTGCTCCATGAAGGCCATTATCAGTTTACTGAATGAGTTCATTGGGTTGTTTTATTGTATTTATAAATTGATGAAAGGGCACAATGAGGTCTGCTCCTTTCTTCACAATCACATTGTGATAGTTGTTTGCCTTTCTCCTCAGGTAGCAGAGCTAAAGGACCAAGGAAATCGTGCTCTGACTTCAGGGAACACACAGGAGGCGATAAGACTGTATGGGGAGGCTATCAAGATAGACCCCACCAACCATGTCCTGTATAGTAACCGCTCTGCCGCACTGGCAAAGGCCTCTAACTATGAGCTGGCCTTGGTGGACGCTAACAAAACAGTCGAGCTGAAGCCTGACTGGGTAAAGGTAAGGAGAAGCTGGGAATCAAATAGCATTGTAAGTCCTTGCTGGTGAATCAGTGTCCTAGTGACTCGCTCCATGATGTGATTACAAAATCAAGTGTATGTCTGCAGAATTTGGAAAGGGTTATGTGCCATTTGCATTCAGCCCTCACATGAAGCATGTTAATATTGTTATATGATTATGAGAAGAATTACTAGTGTATTTGCTACCCATTGTTTAGTGTTATATTAGGAACATGTTTCCCACACGTGTACTTCATGTCTCTTATACTGTACCTTGCAGGGGTACTCTCGGAAGGGTGCAGCCTTGTCATTTCTGGGCCGATATGAGGAAGCCAAGATGGCATATGAGGAAGGTCTTAAACTGGACCCAGAAAACCAACAATTGAAGGATGGAGTCAGGGATGCACAATCTCACTTACA